TCTGTTGTAACCATGCTTGCCGCTCCAGGTATCTTATTTCACATGTCTCAGTAAATTCATTTTACTTCTTAATTTTTTTCATTTGAATATCATCTTAGTATTAGATCCATGTAATTTGTGTAAAACATATAATAAGTTTTAATTTTTAGAAGGCCAATGTTGTAAAATTGGAGTACATAGTTAATCGATTCAATTTTGCTAAAATTTGAAACAGAAAAGATTGCGACATAAGATACACGGAAAAAGTTATAATGCATCTAAATTGATCTAATAATATTATACCGATCAAGAGCAGTATTGAGTCCAATGAAAGATATTAGGATCATTACTAAGAATACGAAATTTTGAAAATTAGAGAAAAGAAAATAAAGTTTCTTCCTTTTCTTCACAAATATAGAAATGAATTTAGATGAATATTCTTTACCGGAGCCGCAGATCACAGTTACACCAGAGAATGCTAATCGAACCTATCATGTGAATGAACAAATTGGGGTTAAATGTACCGTTCATAGTGATCGAATGCTTAACTTGGATTTGTTAATTGGAAAGACATTGGTAATTAGCATATTGTTTCTTTCTTAAATTCCTCTTTAGATCAGTTGGTGTTTAAAAGATACATACTATGATGATGGAAGACTTCATATTGTGTCGTCAGTCATGAATAAGACATGTTTGCCCATTGAACAGTTAGAATTTCTATCGAAATTATTATCTAAGATGAACTTGCTTAAGCCAAGTAATTATGAAGTGTCCAATGTTTGAATATAAACGACCAAATCCAGCATGATAGTTCTTAAGAGAAAGAAAGTGAATAATTTAAGTTCTTTTTTATTGAGTATGCAGTCACACGAAATCTTTGAAATATTCGTAGCAAATTAAAACATACGTTCAATTTGTAGATACATAGTGAACCACCAAAGATGACTGTCGAAACATTTGTAAATGTAGATGAAAATAACAACCTCATAACGTGCACAGTTATGGACACCGACGGCCGTCAGAATCGTGCTCAAATGCATATCTTTGTACAGTGTATGTTTTAAAATATCTAAATTTTTTGAGTATTTGAAAAATTTTTCCAACAAAAGCAAATTTAGAATTGACGCAGTGTATATTTTACGTATCATTTTCATGTATTTTTTTGAAATTATGAAACTAGTAGATAAAAAACATATTGGACATCATCTAATTTTTACAGTTGGACCAATAGTAAATATGGTAACGGAACAGATTTATGCTTATGATGATTTATCAGCTGAAATCCAGTGCATTGTACAAGGTTATCCAGAGCCCAAGCTGGAATGGCATTATCGGAAATCACCGAATGCAGCTCGTACCGAACGTCTTAACGACCCTGTTTTTGTGAAGACAACAGCTTTAAATCAGTATCTTCACACACTTCTTGTATGCTTTTTCAAAACATTTTTTTTCTTGTGGAAAAAGTCGATTATTTGGAATGGAGGTCCAGAAAGGTGGAGGCAAGGGCAAGATGTAATTACCGAATGTTTTCCACCTCCGCAAATTTGAAATTTCTGTCTTAAATGCTCTTTTTTTTTAACTGATTAGAATAGGTAGATGAATTATTCGGTTTAGTTTATCCTTGATGTAAATGTTTCTATTGTTCGTTGTCTCCTTGTCCTTGTTGATAATTGTCATTAGTCTCTTTGAAAAGATGTATTTGTTATTGCCGTATTCGGCATACAGTTACGTAATATTAACTATTAGAGAGTATTCTGAATTTAATGACCGGATAATGATAAGATTTTGATTGTCGTCACGTCTTCTTCTGCTTCCTCCTGGTCATGCTTCTTGGTAGGATTATATTGTCTTTCGTTTTTTAGGTAAAGAATGTAACAGATCGAAATGGGATATATTCTTGTAAGGCAATTGGTGCAGATGGTACTGAGGTTACAAAAACTGCCGAATTGAATATTGCTAAAGCTGCTTTGCCGTTGACACCTCGTTTCATATTGCAGGTATTTTTACGTAATATTTATTATAGAATTAATTGTAATGAAATTTGTAACAATTTCCGTAATTTACTGCTTACTGAAATGCAAAACATTATTCTGAAGTCAGAAATCTGTTGTAGTGTTGTGTCGAAGCGAAGATATCGGAAAAATGCTTGCGTGTCTGTTCAGTGAATCCGGAAGTTGACAGCGATTGTTCAGCCTTTTCAGAAGGTTTTTTTTCCCTTTCATTTCTGACAGACTTTTTATCTCAAATGTAGTGGAAATTAAAATTGTTTCCGTATGTGATTTATTTGTTGTGGTTTTTTATATGGAGACCATATTTATCCAGTTCTAAAATATTCCTACACGTCACTCTTGTTGTAAGGCAAAGAATCGGATGATGGACATCCTTTATTTTTAAAAATGATATCTCAAAACTGAAGAAATATCTTATTCGAAAGAATTATAGACTTGCTGCGATGTGCAAACGACGGTCGAGATCATCGACCGTGTTGCATGAGGGCACGCATTCCATCAGATTGTTTAAGTATGTGCAGCGGTGGCAAGGTTTCGAATAACGCGCTGTGTTCAATATTTGCACCAAGAGCTGTAGCTTGCATGATTAGGGGACATGAACGAGCCCCCTCACCCCCGACGCTTCTTCGTTACGAAAGCGTTTCTCCTGATTCTGTCAAGGTTATTTCAAATTGACTTAACTTTAAAATTATATTTAGATAGATCAAATCATAAGCGATTAATTTCAATAAACTTCGAAGTAAACCGCGCTTCTTCAGTATGTTTTTAATTTGTCACCGAAGCATGAATTGTACCATGTCAGCCATTACTAGCAGTGTACATACACAAACTTTCGCTTTCTCTTTATTTATTTTGCATATTATGATATGCGTTATTCCAAAATTCTAGTAATGTGAGATTTCAGATATCCTGGACCGAAACAGAAGCTGATCCATACAAAGTATATGCTTTGTATTACCGTCAGGAAAACAGTGATGGCGACTTTACAGTTGTGAAAACTAGCAATACGGAAGTTGTCATAGATGGCCTCGATCCTAATACAAATTATGACCTTGCATTAGTTTCTGCGAATGCTCTTGGCCATTCACCATTTTTGGAAACGAAAATTGTCAACGTTGTCGGTAAAACTAATAAATTCAAAATTCATTGCCAATTTTTAATTAGCAATATGCTTGAATTTTCATGAATTTCGATTTGTGACTTTCTGCTTCCAAATTTTATGAAAGCTGAGCTGAGAAAATAGAATTATATATTCCTCTTCATTAGATGGAAAGAAGGTCTCTTTTTTAAAAGATGATGCATGTGATGGTAATGATAGGTTGGAATTAGTGCTTAACATACAAACACGAACCTTGCTTTACACCTTAGTGAAACCGGAAATACTGAACTAAATACTTGTGAACTCACTGGTAATACTGGTAAAATAACAGTAAGCTAAATAAATACATTTTAGGTTCAACACGAAGTCACACATTTGTCTCGGCATTCTTCTTTGCATTTCTGATCGCTGCTGCAGTATCATTTGTTGTGTATACGATTCGGACAAATGCTTGGTTAAGGGTAATCCAAAAACTTCATCGGAGTCAAGCACTTTCAGACCGAGATCCGTCGGTAGCTTTTGAAAATCCAGGTTACGGTACCGAAGTGCAAATTCGAGGACTGGCACACCCGGATCCGATCACAGCCACTGAATGGCAGAATGCTGATCTCGAAGTGGCAGATAATTTACCCACGGAAGCTAACAATGGTATGAGGTATGCAAAGCTGAATTCCTCCTAGGATCCTTGTTGAACTGAATTCGATCAGTGCTCCCCCTAATTTTGCTCATTTTTCCTCCCGATATTTCGATTGCTCCGTTAAATCGAAATAGTCTCTTGTTACAACACATTTTCGGTATTTTCGTAAACCAAAGACGACGATGCAATGTACGTAATAGTGTTACGCCTATTTTACGGAGCTTATTTTCTTACTATTATTATTGTTGGTTCACATGATTGTGATTCTCCAGTATTGCTGGAGGAGAAATTACGAAAGTCCTTTGCGGCAATGTTACGCTTCCCTTCCTCCTTCCCTTTTCCTCTTCCCCTTAAATATCATTGAATCTACTTAAATTCATTCGAAGAACGGGTTAATCATTTATTCTCGCATTGTTCATTTTAGATGTTTACTGTATAAACGTAGTTCTTTTTCTTCCGCTTTTTTTCTGGTTGGATCCCTTATCAGGATGCATATGTATCGTGAGAGGAATGGCTTTTTTTTGTTCCTTTATAATATACAAAATATGCCTAACGTGTACCATGGCTTTGGCTATTGATTTGGTATGTGTATTAATTCACTTTTCCTAGCATTTTAGAATATTCCCAAGATTCTATTATATAAGGTTAAATAACAAGAGCTCTCCTTGATGTATGATCCACATACTTCACGTTGTAGAATTTTGACACCTTTCTCGAGAATGCACAAAAATGCTTTCTTGAAATTTTCGGAGGGAGAATTATCTTAATTCAACAATCGATTCTTTTGTGAAGCGTGATTTACACGATCATGATTACATAGGTAGAGTGTGAAATAAATTGATTGTGTTGTGCATATGCTGTTAGCCGTAAATGATTAAAAATGTTCTTTTTAATACAGTTTGCATTTCAGAAAACCACTCTGAAACCAGTTTAAAGTTTTACTATATACATAGTTCTCAATACAGTCATAATGAATGAAAGAAGTTAACCGAGATTGGGAGATCTGGAGTATATTTACTCGATCCGTGTTAGCTTCCCAAGAGCATCAGTTATTCTTCTCAGACTGCTTTGTAACTACTACGATGATAAACTGATAAAGACTTATTATATTGGATGTAAAGAAAGCATCAGCTATCTTGTACCTTCAACAACAATAAAAGGAAAGGTATATGTGAACCTTCTGTACAGGAAATCTGCATGAACGTTTAATCTATCCGAGCTGTTTCTTTCTGCAAGCTGGGTCCATAAGCTGTTGAAGTATTCAGAAATCGGATTCTTAGGTTTTTCTACGCTTTCTTAGATGTTCATCGGAAGAGTTAGGTTCTTCCAGATTTTTGCACTGCTCACTTGTATCAGTGGCAGTTTCGTCTCCGTGTATACCTTCATCAGTGTATGGATCGGCGTCACTGGTGCTACTCTCATCATCCTCTCCTTTTTCTCTGTATTTTTTGGACAGCTCCTTGAAATCGAGTAATGCCTTTAAAAAAGGAAGAATAAATCATCTGAAACAACTTGAAAAAGATCGGATAATATCTGTCATTTATATCATTTAGACAATCACATAAATATAAGAACTGTCGGATTACTCAATACATTGCGACTTTCGTGATCTAACGGTTATGTGCCAGATATAACCGCGGTATGACAAGTTCACGATGCTAGCCGTAAACCAGTCAACTGTCCAGTTATTTCAGTAATGAAAAATGATTCAAAGTTCCTTTTAAACAAAGATAAAGGCAAACATCTTCCAGATCCCGCAAATATTGCTCTGTTTTCCCATCTTGTTTGTCAAGACACTGCTTCAATGATTTCTCATTTCCTGTTTCCTCTGTCAAATTTTGTCTCGTTGCACTAGTTGCCTCAGCAGAAATTGTGTTCAGCTGTTCTAAAATCTTTTCCATTGCCATTTCAGTTTGCCTTAAACGTTCCTGAAGCCCCTTCAGTTTTCGTTTACCTGAAAATTCGTGTGTATATAATTTTCGGATGTCTGAGAAATATTTCACACTGAATTGTTCTTAGTTAACCATCATTTTTCCTCTTGAAATAATCTGATAGTTAAGTTTAATGAAATTTTAAGAAAGAAGAGACGTAAATTAAATTTATACCAATGCCGCCAGTGCGTCCATCATTTCGACTGTAATCTTCGTCTGATTCACTTTCCGTCGATGAATAATCATGCCGCCTAATTCGCCGTTTTTTTTTCGACTGAATTTTTAAAAATATTAAAATTATAGCGAAACATAAAGCTACCAATATATGAAGAGAGTACGGAAGTTACTTAATGGTAAAGATTTATTGATAACGAATAAATTATTTCTTTTCTGATTCCCCTAATGCTTATGATGAATAATAATATTTGCGTTTTAATTGTTATCTAAATCGAGAACTGAATAATTCGGAAACTTATTAGCACAAGTCATTTGCACTAGTTGGAAAGTTACTTGTGTTACTGAGGCAATTATTTTGACACCCTATAGAATTCAATGAAATGGAGATTTTATTTGTTCTATTAGGGAAGAATTTCATTAATCAAAAAGCATATTATTCAACAAATTATTTGTATTAAACGTAGAGTTACCTTAACTAAGGTATAAATAAGGAATGCGACGACGCCAACTGTATAAATTGGAAGCATCCATGCAAACATGCCTTTGGATGAGGAAGATGGCGTGGTTATATCTGGTTGATTTGCCGCCATTCGCATGCCTACAAGTGAAAAAGGAAAACAAGCATTAGTGATATTTTTGAAAGATCCAGATCTTTCTACTGAACAGTGATGATGGTTCATTAATGCATTTATCTTGGAAGTGTTTGTTTTTTTATCTCAGTGAACCATAATCAGATTCAATGACCGTAAAACTGCTTTGGAACTAGGTAATGAAACATACCTGGATGAAAGTCAGGACGAGATCGTGGCGAACTCATTGCAGGATGGATCGGTGGTCGATTTGTGACTGTTTTCCGTACCGGTGGAGCCCGGAAAAATGAAGATACCAGTGGATGAAGCATACTTGGATAAAGCATTGCAAAACACATGATTATTACTCCGATAACAACTCCAAGCTTCCATCCTGCAAGTGGTGACTCTTCTTCCGAATAAGTTCGCCGACGCCTGGAAATATACCATTTTAATTTTATCAAATTTTAAAAAAATTTATAAGAAATCACTATTTCATATGTAATGAAGCTAGTTGGCTTCATCTTATCTCAAACAATGCAGTAATTCGGCCGGTACCATACCGCATATGTAAAGTTTTTTGTTTTTTATTTCTGCATGCCTCTTTGATTATACTTATATATCTTCAGATCACTTCTACTCATTCCATATAAAATATGAACTTTCTATGTTTAATGAATGTTCCATTTTTTCCATCATTCCAGTATTTCATACTCTCTCAATCTCGAATTTACATATCTTCACATCATCGAAAATATGTAAACTGTCTTGAAAAACTGTCACCAATAACCAAGATGTAATGGACGAATATTAAACGTAACAATGATAATATAAATTTGTTTCATGATTGATTAATATGAAATGTTTCCAAATTTTCCATTTATCCTTAAAGATGAATGAAACAGAGTAAGTTTTCTCGAAGCGTTCGATGAAAAACGATCATAAAATATGAATTTTTAACCGTTGGGGAATAGCCGTTTGGCGACAACACAAAAAAAGCCAACAATTTCAGAATAAAAAAGACAGTATACTTATAATTATTCAAATTTACTTTATTAACCGATAAAAACTGAGTCAAATTCTGTCCAGCTCGTCAAAAACATCGATTTGTTAACTTATCATATTAAGTTAATGAATATTATATTAAAGTATATTCTAAGAATATCATTTTCTGATACGCAATGTAGAACATCAAATTATTCAATTTCAATTTCAATTTCGACTTTCTTTCAGTCTAAATTTAATTGTAAAAGAAAGCAAATTTAAAACTTTCATCAAAATATATTTACCAAAAGTTGGGACTGCTGGCTCATTTGCAACAATAACAACAAATATTAACTTTATAAAAACTTGAACTCATTCGATAAGTCATTTATGCAATAACGAAATTCAAGTAGAAAGGTCAGATAAAGGGTATCAAATCTTTTCAAAGAGAAATGTCATATAAATAGCTAAAAGAAATTGGTGATTATTTTTAACCTTTTTTTTTGTAAAATGAAATTAATTTCCATCCAGTTAACAGTATCAAATTTCGACAATAAAATTAGGAAGGAGCACGAAATGCCTTCTATCACATCAATGAATCAAACCTATTCTTATCTTACGTTTTCATTTAGTCATCGCATTAATTACACTCATTTTAATTATTTACTATTCTCTAAATGAGTATTGTTTGATATATACTTTGATAATTTAACTCTAATACAAAAGAGATTTTAAATTTTAATTTTTGGAAAAAAAATGTGAGGAGGTGAGGAAAGAGAAAAAAAGCATAGAAACAATTAAATTTAACAAAGTAATTAAAGGATGCATATCATAACTGACTTAACAAAACATAATAATCAATAAAATGGCAAACCTTCTAGAGTGAAACGATACTTCGGCTGACATACGACGACTATTTCCGGATAACAAGCAGCTTAGAAAGCTCCCATAGATTTCTTTTACAACATCCCCTAATTCTTCTCTTCTCTTTTTCTCTCTCTATTCCATTCTTTGTAGTATTTATTCATTCTATCAATCGCATCATCAATTTCAAACTTATGCATTCATCTGCCTCCTCACTTTATTTCATGTCTTTTTTATTGTTGTCAATTTTTGAAAAAATTTAAGAAATTGATTTAAGTTTTTTTTTTTTTTGTATTTCATAGAATATGTAGCAGAGGATATTTGCGTATTCGATGGCAAACCTTCTGAATGTCACTGATAAGATGAACGATCTTATTTGTTCAACACGTGGTCATTAAGCCTACACAATTTTCGCCATTTTATGTTATTACTATCATAACATTAGGAAAGTTCCAGGATGTATTACAATTAATAATTGATGTTAGGTTCCCTATGTAAAACATGTATTTGAACAAATAAATAAATCACTTAAGGCGAACAAATTAACCGGATTTATTATCAATTCATGCTTGTCTTTTCGGGATTATTCATTATGTTGTGTTTTGAAATAAAATCCAAATTTCATGCTGTATTTTAAAACTGAATAAACAAAACTCATGAACAGGTAGAAAGAGATAAACTTGATCTTTCATACAAAATAAATTATAATGTTAATTTTTCTCGATAGAATACATATTCCGGATAAATTATCGGTTTGAACTACCTGGTGACTTTGATAAGAGCTTTTGTTTTTAAGGAGCAAAACCACCGACACTATTACTTATTCCCATTTCGAAATCACTCAATTATTCTATAAAATTTGATTGCTGTTTTGTTCAAATCCTTTAATAAGGACTAAGTACTCTTCTCTTCCTTATTTTATCCTTATTTTAACTTCATTTGGTATTCGAAAATTTCTTGGCAAATAAAAGCTAATTGAGGGAAGAGTGATTGTCTTATGCATTGATTGCTTTTGACATCTCCATAGCTAAGTTTTCAGGGTTTTAGGACCTTAATGCTTTGTCATCAGTTGTTTGTATATGGTATGTTATTTCCATCAATGTCTATTGGTTGGATGTGTTGTATTTGTTGTGAATATTCCAAGTTATATTGCAGTAATGTTTTGTAAAGGTTGTCTTTAGTGTGAAATTTAGCGCTTCCTTTTGTGTAAAAATTTCGTTCTGTTTGTAAAATGATTTGTTGAAATTCAATATTTAAATGTCCTTTTTTAATTCATTAGTTTTGTAATTTTTATAAATTCAACATGCGATGATTGAACAACTTTCTTATTTGAAAACTTTCCATTTCTCAAATATGTTTCTCTCAAAGTCGATCATTATAACATTTTGAAAGGTATTGAACCTGTTAATTTGATCCCGTATGACAAACTTACGACAATTGGAAAAGTGATGAAATTATCGATACGGTGCATCTTGCCTTCCTTATTCATCATATAATAGTAGTATTGAGCGGTAGAAAAAAGAAGTGAATTGAAGCTGTGGAGAGCTTGAAATCAAATTCTTCCATTTGATGATCATTTATGACATGACAAGGTGCCATAGTTGACAAGACAAGAAGGATTGTTTCCGCGACATCATGGTAGAAGTTCTTACTTTGGTTACAATAAGAATAAAAGTAGCACCAAAGCCGTAGATCATCATAACATTTTGTTTTAGTCTATCAATGGCTTTCGATCGCTGATTATTTCACAGTCTGTCACGTTCATCACGTATACGTCCTTATCCTTTATCTATCACATTGATGGACTAGGAAGAATTGAATTCGTTAAATAGATATGAAGTTAATGGAATAAGCTAACCTAACTTGATTCTTATATCTTTATTCCATATTGTTAGTAGTTTTTGTAAAATTGGATAACAGACTTATAAGTAAATCTCAAATCAGTGAACTTTTATGTTCAGGAGAATAAATTTAAGCATGATTCTATTGTTTAGTATTGATCCATTATATTTATCTATGTCCTGCAGTATTAGTAAATCCCTTCGTCATGGCGATAATAAACCAAAACAAACCAGTCCAATCTGGCTAGGCTACTCTACTAGCTTTAACAGAGTGTGATGCATAAAAGTCGACATGTTTTATGAGAAGTTTCATGCGTATTTCACGGGCAATTTTATAATTTTATTTGTATTTCACGGGTAGTGAAAGTGAGTTCCAAAAATTAAAAAATTAAAAATTACTCGGATGACTTCTTAATTTTTGGAATTCTCATCTGTTTATTTGCTCACTTCTATCATTTAATTCATTTCGTTGTCGTCATTTAATGAGCTAGCGACAGTTGAATAATTTGACCGCATTTTTTTCAGATGGACACTATGGAAGATGAATTCCTGCGTCAACGAAAAGTCGGTTCACCAAATGTTACAAGTCATCCAAGCAGTGGCGATGGAGTGTTTCTCCTGCAGAAGACGGATATTCGGGCAGCATCAGACGAAAGTGATGCAGATGGCCTTATTGATGGTGAAAGGTAACAGATGTATAACAGTCTTTGCCGATTTTAGTTTCAAATATTGCGTGCCATGTTTGAAATCTTTATTTAGAAATCTTCGCTGTGCAGACAATCGCTGTCAATATTATACTTCGCCAATATTTACTCTTTACAATGCGTAGTCCTCCTGAAAGAAGTTCGTGATGTCAGCTGTATGATTCCTTTAGTAATTTCAAGAATTGTTTGTTTGTTGAAAATCTCATCTTTAAATTCAACTATTTGCAGCACTAAAGCTACAGAAAAGTAAGTTTTCCTTTCGTTGAGATGATGCAGTGTTGATGTTGTGCTTTATTAAGTCATTTGTTGTGCTTTGTGAAATCTCATTCTCTCCATTTGCATTTGAAGATGTAATCTTTTATAGAGTATCACAGCTAACGAAGGATTTGCCGCAGGGTTCCGATCATGTGGGGGCGTTTGTCGATCCAGTTCTTTCACCGTTGCCACCAAGGTATATCTTTAATAGGTCAGCTAGCTTTGGGGTTGTTTTGCTTCTACATAATCTGCAATTTTCGACACCACCTTTGAAGGATCCCATGCAAGGCTTTATTTCATTACTATACCCACCACAGAGATAATGTTTTCTACTTATTGTTTATTTTCAGATGGCGGAATTGGGTTGTGCGTGGTATTTTTTCAATTATTATGGTTTCTCTGTTCACTGTAATCATTAAAATGGGAGCTACGTGGCTTATGGCCTTGGTTAGATTTGCTTTATAGTGTCAGAAAATACTATTGCTTGAAAACTTATTAAATAATGAGAAATGTTTAGGTGTTTGTCATACAGTTTTGGTGCTTCCATGAAATCATTACTATCGGTTTGGCAATTTATCGTCTCTATTCATTACCATGGTTTCGAGCACTTTCATGGTATTTTCTGCTATCATCAAATTACTTTTTCTTCGGTGAAAGTTTAATCGACTATTGGGGTATTTTGCTGAGAAAAGATGTATGCGTTTATACTTAATCATTTTCAATAGTACTTTTCCAGAAAAACTCCTTATCAGTTACTTTTCAAGCTTATTCTTTACAATCTTTTTTTTCAGTTCATTCTGTTGCTGTGGCGGTCTCATTTTCCAGGGGGTGAATTTGTGGGCTTGAACTCCATTAGTTTTAGTTTAGTGGTTTTATTCTTTATTGCAACAGCCCCTTTCCGGAACCCGTTCATTCAGATCTGTGGACTCGGTTGTACATAAATCATTATCAATCTGGGTAGAAACACGTGGTTTATTGTTCGCGCTAGCTCCTTTTCTTCACCCTTAATTCCGATAATTATGTTTTATTTAATGTTTGGTGCAGTATGCATAATTTTCAGCAGTTTTTGCATTTCTTGGTGGCACATCATCGTTTGATTAGCTTCGCCCTATACTGCATAGGTTTCGTGTGGTTTGTTTTGTCACTGCGAAAAGGTTACTACTTGCGGCAATTCTCACTAGTAAGTTTTAATCACACTGTTTTCTTCTCAAATTGTTATTTTATCGCACTGTGAAGAACTACTAAACAATGTTAAAATAGAGCTAACAGTTATGTGGAAACTTCAGTCAAATCTAGTAGATACTTTACAGAAGGTGAAGATCATACCCCAGCTATAGGGTGGAATAAATAGAGTCTTTTATGGGCGATATCTTAAACTTTCCTTGCACAGTGCAATTGCTCCAACTTCTCTGTTGATTTTTTTCTAAACCAAGAAAGTTGTTTGGTTTTTTTCGAAACTGTAAACTAGCTAATATGTTCTGCACTAAAGAGTTTTGTGACATTCAATTACCAAGTACTTTTCTAGTTTCAAATCATAACTTTCTTGACTATTCATAACTTTATTTTGCTTTTCAGTTCGCTTGGTCTCACGTAACGCTGTTACTGATTGTTTCACAATCGTTCCTCATTATCCAGAATATTTTTCAAGGACTTATATGGTCCGTTTTTAGTCTTGCAAATTTTGTGTTGATTATCGTTCTTTTCATTTGTGAACTCACTCACGGTATATAACTTGTCCATAAAATCATTTTAGGTTTCTTGTTCCTGTTTCAATGGTAATTTGCTGTGATGTCATGTCCTACGTATTTGGTTTCTTTTTTGGAAAGACACCTCTAATAAAATTATCTCCGAAGAAAACATGGGAAGGATTCATTGGCGGTGGTATCAGCACTGTTGCATTCGGCTTAATTGTAAGTTATATTGCATGAGACTGACATGAAACGATGTAAGTTTTCGCGGAGTTTTGAGGTGCTAATACTGAGATTGTCAAAGTCATATCATTCATTGTAGTTCAATATTAGTGTGATTGCAAACCAGGCAATTTGCCTTTTTAAATGTGTATAGTGAGAGATATAAGGACGATCCCAGTAGTATAGTATGCTGTTATTGTTATTGTTTCAAAATGAAGGTCATATAATTTTATTCCGATTTCTTTATTCGTATTTGTATTTCAGCTTTCGTACTGCCTTCTTCGTCACCCCTTTTTTGTGTGTCCATTGGAAGATTATACAGTGGAAAACTATAACTGTACCATTCCGCCATCATTTGTTCTAAGGTTTGCTTTAAATGTGTACATTGGAAGACTTTGAATAGCTAACTGTGCTATAACTGTACCATTTGGTTTGGATAGCTCGAATTATAATTATTTAAATTATCTTTTTAGAGAGTTCAATATTGGGCGGCCACTCTCTATCATCTTACGGCTGATGCAAAAACCTCCAACATTTCAAATCTACCCTTTTTTATTTCATACTATTGTAATGGGCCTGTTTGCTTCTATATTAGGCCCATTTGGTGGATTCTTTGCTAGTGGATTCAAACGAGCATTCAAAATTAAGGTATTACTTTCTAAAAATTCTTTATGCATTTGATTCTATTATTTAGATGAATTAACGGAAGTATTTAATTCTACGTTCTACAGGATTTTGGTGATGTTATTCCTGGACATGGTGGTTTGATGGATCGGTTTGACTGTCAGCTTCTTATGGGAACGTTTGTGAACGTCTACATACACACTTTTATCAAGTTAGTAATCTTATAGGTTAAATTGTTTTTTGCAGTCATATTCATTAAAAAATGCAGACGAAAGCCTAGATTGTTATGTTCTTGCGGTTTATATGGAATTTTCCTAAGATTTTAAAAGGGAGTAATTGCAAATTTTACAAAAGAAATAGGATGCGTTAATTATATTTGTTGTTTTTCAGAGTCCCCAACCCATCAAAGCTTTTGCAACAAATTTTTTGGCTTCCAGCGGATGAACAACTTTACATATACCATTCTTTGCATGAACATCTTCTTAATGAAGAACTGCTTGATACCTGATTTTAGCTTAATATTAAAAATGAGTCTGTTCAAATTTCTTTTACTTGTTGTGACTTTTGAATTTCTCGGCATAGTGTGAATTCTGGAAAAATGAAATGCCAATAGTAGTAAAGTATGATAGGAAACTTATAGCTTAATGCAAGCAATTCTTGTACATTTTTGAAGTATATTTTTATATTTACCTCTCGGAATTTAGAAATGAAGATAAGAATACTTTAAAAAAAAAAAAAAACTGTATCGTTAGAACAGTGAAGTAGCTGTTATTTTGCTTCTGACTTAGTTTTTTATAGTTGCAAATTGTGTTATAGATGTTAGATAGTAATACAAAATAATATTTAATGTATTGTTATTGCTGTCTGGAGGTTTGAAACAATGACCTATTAGATGAATCATAGTTTCAGGTTGGAGATGAGCTATTTTGGTTTTTTGTTACGTTTTTGTCTTCTTGTGCAAATGATTCTTCCCGCCATATCATTATTTCAAAATACTTTTTTTTTTTATAAAATTTTGACATCAATTCAGGTCATTTTTTCCAATTTTCTCACTTGCATGAGATAATGTATGTCTGTATGTCTGTTGCCCTAGTTCACTTGGAGGGTGAATGTGACAGTCTTTTTCATTTTTCTTTGTACTAAAAAGGAGTTTACTTAAAAAATGTATACATAGTGTTGTGCTTTGTTACGTTTCCTGTTGATTGAATAACAACTAATTTTTCATGTCTTTTCTAATGTTTATTTTATTTGATTTGACAGCTATTACGCGCGTAGTTCGTAGTTTACAAACTTACGATTTTTTCGATATTTAAAAATGTTTGTTGTTTATTGCCGTTCTGAAAATGTTTTTTTCTGTAGGCGAAATATTGTTTGTGATGTCATAAGTTTAACGATGTTCTAATAATTTTGCAAAGTCAGATAGCAAAATGGAAAGCTATTCGCATCTGAAATAAGTTTTTTTCTAAAAAAAAACACATCTGTTTTTGAAGTCGGATTGTATTCATTAATTTATTGCCAAGTTGTATCAATTTATATTAAGTTTTATTTAAATTTGGTGTCGTTCGTAATGTTTAGCACTTGCTTGCATGTTTTTAATATTGCTGTGACGTTTTTTTTTCATGTTGAGTTGTATTTGCAATAGATTTAATGAAGTTTTGTTATAATTGTATACATTTGCAATTTATTAATTTTCGATAACAAATTAAAAGGTTATAACGAAATGAAGCAGTTGGAAGACCATTCTTCGTGACATTGTGTTGATCTAGTCGTGAAAAAGACGTACCCGGGTGAAGGAATATAAATGGATAGATGTTTATGAAAAGATTTAGGCTCTTTTCCTAACGAAAAGATCAAAAGAGTGCTTAAATGATCTAATGCATTAATTGTTTGAAGTTATTTTTAGGCCTTTTCGAAGAAATTTGAAGTTTTTTTTGTTGGCCAGTTTGATTCTATCATCATTCTTTCCGGAGTAATTTTTGTATTTTGATTGATACTAGAGATTTACTTAAACATATTAAACTAGTTTGGGGTCACCTGTGCACTTATCCATTTCTACATTTCACAGAAGAATATCATAAATTATATTTCTTTGACGGTAGATCGGATTCGTCTAACTAGTTCCGGGTGTTTACAATGGATACATGTTTTTCACACATTAAATGATACATAAGCTATACTCAAGGTATACTGTGTACAAATATTGGAGTAAAGGTGAATGTTGCTGTAAGTATTATGCTTTTATTTGCTAGATCAATATATCTAACGAGGTTATTAAATGTTTTCTTATTGATGTGGTTAAATTTGAATGTAGAAGTTGTTTTTCTATTGAGTCATATTATTATTATTATTATTTGACTAGTTTCTTTCAATTGTTAGTTTTTAATTGAATGTTGTCTTTTCTTTTTTCCCTAATAATAGCAATTTAAGTTTGTAATTTGACGAATTTGATTGCAACATTTTGTAATTTGACTTATTTAAACAAATTCTTCACTTAAGTTAACATCTTCTTTACTGCTACAGTATGCATTTCTTCTTAAAGCTTAAACTCATGAAAAATAATTATTTATTTTTCATAAAGATTTATCATTTTCTTTTCTAATTTATATACTCCTATAATTTTACTTCAACTAACGTACATTAAAATAATTGCTTAATCTTATCAATGAGAGGAAGTAACCTCTTCGAATGACAGTATAATTATACAATGAGATACGATCAATATTTATATTTTGAGACACCTGAAAAAGATATTTTATATTCATTTTCGAGTATTAATATAATCAATAAACATTAATGATTCCGTTTCTTAAAATTATTAAAATTCTTTGAAAATAATTTATATTAAGGAAATGCAGTTTTTAATTCATTTTAATTTACTGTGCTGAAAGGAACTTCACTAAGCCAACATTGTTAGACTATTTTTTTATTTTGATTTCTTCTTGATCAAAGGTGTGATTTTTCTGTTTGTATCATAGAAAATATTCATTTCGGTATTGTTACTGATTATTTAATTTTTTAAATTTCGATCCTTTTTTTTTTTTAAATTCTTATCAATTAATATTATATAAATTAAGCCGGAAAAATCATCACTTAGAATCATAAAATTTATTTCCTTCATGTGTGGTTCATTTGGTAATTTTACATATCTGTACACAGAACAAAGTACAAAGGCAAAAAGGAAGTGTAACTTTTAGTCTCATAAATTTTTCTCTTCTTGTCTTAATGGCTTCATTCATTACTTTAATGATTTAGTGGTTAAATGATGAATATCTATGTTATATTTACTTTTTCTTATGCTTTTCAGACATTACCGTCATTTTTTTTCATCGATCACGATAACAAATAGGGTATAAAATGAAATGATAGGAAATTAAGAATTTTTATATATCGCGTATATATATCACTATAGAAGAAAAGATTTGAGATTTTAAGTGAAAAATATTTGTATAAGTAAATTGAGATTTAAATTTATCAATTGTGAATTTACTCTTTGCTATAACTGTTACAATAATTGTGTGATCGCGGATTATCATCACTTTTTATTGGTAATAATTATGAGAAGTTAAACTTGTACTACTATCGAAATGTTTGCAAACGGTAACTTTCAATGATGGTTTGTATGGATATTTCGAATTACGATTTTGATCAAATTTGAATTTTAGAATTGTAAAATTTTTTTAGATTTTACCTTATAACAACAAGATGTCGAAATCACATAGTCCAAATTACGAGATTTTCAAGAATTTTGTTGCTGGTGGTGTTGGTGGTACATTCTGCGTTGCTATGGGGCATCCTTTTGATACCGTGAAGGTACGGTTACAAACGATGCCAAAACTGGTACCAGGTACTCCACCATTGTATACAGGAGCATTGGACTGCGTCAAGCAAACCATTGTTAAAGAAGGATTTTTTGCTTTATACAAAGTTGGTTTTTTGCTAATCTTGCGGTCAAATATTTTAGTATTTATAATGTGGTAGCCCACATTTTGTCATCATTCTTTTGCCGTTCTCTGATTCATTTCGTTGTAATACCTTAATAAGATTTATTCAAATCCATCTTTTTCAATTTATGCAGATTTTCGACTTCTGATCATTTCTTACTAATTATGTCTTAGGGTATGAGTGCTCCTATAATTGGAGTCACACCTTTGTTTGCCGTTTATTTTGGGAGCTGCTCGTTTGGTAAGTGGTTGCAGCAGACATCCCCAGATCAAGAAATGACATTCGTTCAAAATCTTTTGTCGGGTGGTCTTGCTGGCATTTTTACAACTATAATCATGGTACCTGGTGAACGTATCAAGTGTTTGTTACAGGTTATATTAGTTACTTTGCAAGAAGATGCAGTTTGTGAGTAGGAACTAAGCTTCCTTAGACTTTATTTTTCGATCTTATCTATTCCATTTTTCGTCGGTATCGAAATACTAAGGCTTCGAGTTTCAGTGAAAATTCCGATTTTTCAAGACGAAGATCTTCAGCAGCTGTTTGTGACAGTCATCCAGTCGATTTCAGGTCCAGCATGCGGGTTCCACAAGTCCATCTCCAGAACATTACACTGGACCAGTTGATGTCTTTCGGAAATTGTACAGACAGGGTGGTATAAGAAGCATTTACAGGGGTTCAATGGCAACTTTGCTTAGAGGTCAGAATCAAGATTTTTATAAAGTAGCCCTTCTTTCATGTCAGGGTAATCATTTCTGTCCTCATCTTTCCTCTTCATTAAGTGATAGCGTTAGGTTCTGTTTCTATAATAAACGTTAGCCATTAATGGTTTTTTTTTTAATTTTTTCGTATGACGAATGCTTACTGTTGCAGATGTTCCAGCTAGTGGTATTTACTTAGCCACTTATGAGTATCTCAAGAAATTGTTTGCTGGAGACAGTACAACCAAAAATTTGGATCTCTTGTCAACATCATTGGCAGGTGGTTTAGCAGGTATCGCTAATTGGTCTATCTGTATTCCACCTGATGTATTGAAGTCGCGTTTGCAAACAGCACCAGAGGGAAAATATCCAAACGGTATCAAGATTTCTTATTTTTTCTTGGATATGAGAGTGTGGGTTAACTTGTCTAATTTCATGCTTTTTTCTTGAAAAGTAATCTCCAAAGGATTAGTGAGAGTTTTTCCCTTTTACAGTTGATGTACAATAAGCATTTTATAATCGGTCAGTAGCTAATAAAGAAATTTCGATTTGGTGCAGTTCTGTTTATAATTTCTGTTCCGTTATGATTAACTTGGTATTTGTCCGATTAGTATTATTAATTTCAACTTCGTTTCCTAGGAATACGCGGGGTATTCAAAGAAATAATGCGTGAAGAAGGCCCAAAAGCGTTATTCAAAGGTTTTATTCCGGTAATGCTGCGCGCCTTTCCAGCGAATGCCGCATGTTTTCTGGGATTTGAATTAGCCCTAAATTTTTTCCGGCTCATGGAAACCAAATATAGCTAATTTGGCTGTAAAAACATCGCGGTAGCAACCTCTTTATATGTTGTTTTTTTTTTTTGAATTTGTCTTTATCTGTATCTCTCTGTCAACCTATATATATATACAGATAGAGAGATGTAGGTATACATCATATCTGAAGGTAAAATCATGAATTGTCACTAGCTTAACTTACTTTGAGTGATGAATGAAATTTCCTTGCAGACATTGCTGTATTTATGAAGGTTTTTTGCTGAGGAAACAAAAAACCTAGAAACTAGTCTTAACCTAATTATTATACCTGGTTAAGCTAGAGGAAGTCGGTGATCCAAGCTTGATATTTTATTGCTAAGATATTACATTCTCTTTTTGCATATCAGTATTATGATTCTAGGTATGTGTCCTTTCTTGATTGCTACTTTTTTGCTGCAAGAAAATATCTAACTTATGGTCATCAATGTAAATACAATGAAGAAAAGGAGCTCTTTATAAAAAGGATGTAATTTTGACTTATTGATTTAATGAATTCTGAAGTTAATAGTAATGAAGCTGGTAAAATACTTTAGTAATGAAGTTAATAAAATATTCAGAAATTCTGTCTCAAATCCGAGAGACGAGAGTAATTTTTGAACTACAATATTCAACATTTTAGTAAGAAAGCAAACTAACTATTAATATGCTATTTCATCGATATTATTTAAATCACAAATTTTGGTTAAGAGCAGAGATTGTTCGTATGTATTTTATCTTAAATGATAAAATATTACTCTTATCATGCATACGCATACCAGGATAATTGGGCAAATAGTTATATCAAAATAACTAGCCTCTTCAGTCCCATTTGCTGTTTCAAAGTTCCGTCTGATAATTCCTCCGCTTTATCTCTCATCATCCTTCCTACAATTTGAATACAGTCCTTATGATTTTTGTCAACTTCTCAATAAATTTTAAAATTTATAAAATTTTTCTTATTGCTAAAAGATATCTAGTTTTGTTAAAATATGCAATTATGCGATTACTTTATTGTTTATCATTTCAATTCAAAGTTTGGATGGTTTCATGATATGCCGAATTAAATCTTGAAGATGTTATGATAAATTTCAAAAATTAGACAATGAATTAATACAATTGGGAAGAATTCATCGAGGCTTCCATTATTTATGCAATCAGTCAGCGAAAAAGTTCCCGTACAGGATCAGATTTGTATAGAATTAAATTACTTAAATTATGTTAGTGTGAAATCAGATAAAATTATCAATAAAGCTTTCATGGAATATTGGTGGTGTTGAAGAAAAGAGAAGAGCCTATTATTTCATAATTGTGCGAATGGATTTAACTTTGGAATTTGTATATTCCCCTCCCTTTTATATCTCTGTGGACTGGAAATTTACTGCAATGGCCATATATTAATGTTAGCGCTCCTTTGTATCAATATATCTTTGAAGTATTGTATGAGGAGCTTTACACATAATTGATTGCAACGCCAAAGAATAATTATTCCATCCATGTTCATGATACAATGAATTATCATGATAAGAAGTCATGTTATTTTACAATAGCATTTTCCAAAGAATAATTTTAGTTTTTCATCTCGCGTTTATAGGAGTTATGATGGTCTTATCTCGTTACTTAATACTTTGACAATGAATCCACGAAAGTATTTAATTAATTATAACTTCGATAAACTAAAACTTCCAAAGGTCAATCTTAGTTTTTCAAACAATGAACTGTATTCTTTGTACATTTCCAGCATTCACTCAAGTGCATCGCCACACAACATTTAATCGTGTTGAACTCATGCCATTTTCCACGACGGAAACAATCATCTGAATTGTTTTAAATTAAATTAGTTCAAGCTTCTCAATAAGTGGTATTTTACCAGTCTGAATTAATTGCACTTGACATCTAAATCGTATTTTGATGGCATTGAATCGTCTCTTTAAATTACGAGTCAGCCGAATTATTTCGATTAAGTCTTACATAAGATTTCTTCACATGTTTTGTGTATTATTTTCTTTTGTTGTTATATACGAGAAAAATATTTATTCACAACATTTTATGGAATGTAAGAAAAGAGCTGAGGTTAAGGAGCATTATTCAAGAAATCATTGCTGCAAAACTTTAGAGTAAATTTAAATTTCCATATAAATTAATTAAGAAATATATGTTACGTTAAATGAATGAGCGAACAAATGAACGAATGAATGAAGTATACGATTCAAGCATTTAGTATAATAGCATTTTTTTCATTTTTTCTTTGGTAGCAAATCGATTTGATAATTGGGTTCAGAAATCTGCATACGACGAAGTCCCAACTCTGAAAATATATATGTCAAATTAAACATATACCAGTAATAATTTTAATCCATTTATGTTATTCGAAATTTTAGAATCCTCCCCTGGATCACATACTGTATCACAACTGCAACATTGTAATCCGTTTAAACAGCATACATGCTAAGTTATGAATGATTCCAGTCATTTTGTATTGATGAATTGATTGACGACAGTATTATTCTACTAGAACTACTTGAAACTTTCAATATTTGTTTATCAACTTCTAATAAAATTAATAAAGTAGCATATGATATCGAATAAATTTTCTATAAGAGGTAAAAAATTTATAAGGTCTGTGAAATTGAACAAAATAGAAAAAATAAACTGAAACCTTAGAAAAAGCATTCAGTGGTATTCCAAGTAACACTCCAAGCGGTGTGCACAAGAAAACACTAATTACTGCGAAAATCGCAAATAAAATGCCGAAAAATACGGCGAGTGGTATAGCGATAAAAGCAGCCAGCAACTTATAAATAATAACACTTGTAGCCGTAAAAATTCGATTAGTTGCAAGCCAAGTCCAATTGAACGAATGACTTCCATCCGGTTCCGCGAATACTTTTCCGAAATCCATGACAATATGATTATTGAGACCCTTATCATCGCGATTCTCGAAACCCATTCTAATTTTCACTCTTGATTTTTTCGTTTCATCTTTCTCTCTTTCAAAATTATACGATCGTGGACTTTTTCGTTGCCAAATTCTACAAATCTTTTTATGCTTCTTCTTATCAACATCACCACTCTCTTCCTGGAGAAAAAAAGAAAAACAATCAGGTAAGAAATGTAAATTTGAAAGTTATAAAACAAGTAGATGAAATCATTCCATTTTATGATTTCTATTAATAATCAGCCGGAAGAGAAAAAATCAATTCATCAACAGGAAATCCAAAACATCCTCAACAGGAAATCATAGATTGATATATTTGATAAATATATAATTGCTGAGTGTTTCAACATTTTTCCATTTAAAGGATTTAAATTAATGATTCATATTTTGCTGCTACTCACAATTTCAATTAAATTCCTTTCATTATGATTATACCACTTATTAGTAACTAACTATATGGCTGGCGCTTTATATAGTTAGTGCGCTTTTGCATGAGCTTCTTCAAATGCTCAATAATTCAAATAAATTTTTTTTTAAGAGAACCATATTTTCAATGTTTAAATTATTTTCGAATGAAGTATTTTTTGCTTTTTCATTTTTACGATTGAATGTGAAATTAGAATAAATGATTAAATAGAACTTCCGAAAATGCATTTCAAAAATTATAAAGAGAATGGGAATAATTTGGCAAGTGAGGGACTTACTATACTGATCAATTGACCATTATTAATAATCATATCATTAGGAGACATAAAAATTGAAAACTAAATTGGAATTCTTCAATTTGACAAATTATTATTCATTCTGGCGATAATTTTCTAATATGTTGACTTAGTTTGAGATTTCAAAATTCTCATTACTTCTCATATTCATATTATAATTAAAAGATTTATGAGAATGAAAGCCATCTCGAAAATGAATTCTTCGATTTTTTGTTTGAATCGAAAGATTTATGATTAATTTCTTTTCCTCTTAAATTACTTAAGAGATTTATCAAAAGTTAGGGAAAAAAGGTACGGCAGTCATTGCTCTATATAGATAATGATAAATGACAAATATCCATCCATTTTGGTTCATCCGTGGAAAGCTTTTTTGGTATAGCAAAATTATTTCATTAATTATTTGATGAGAAATTAATGCAGAAAAACTTTAATTAGTCAAGATGAAACTAATCTATATTTAGTAAAATAGATGCCAATTTTAAATGATTACCTTTGTAGATTTATTTTCGACTTTTAGATTTCCCGGATCGATATCGGATTTCAGTGGCACCTGTTCCGATTGAATTTCCTCTCTTCGATCAGACATCTTTTTTCTCACAAATTCTCTTTCTGGTTAAGGGGATGAGTGAAGCAAGCAAGCTGCTTGAGCAGTAATTGATTTGGTTTTTCACAGAACCCAGCACTACCAAGCAATCGGCTATTTGGACGAAATGTATGTACGTAAGGTCAGTCACTCCTTGGTAGATAGCAGTAAAAGGCGGACCCTTTAGCGATGTCCATCTGATGACCTTCCTCATTTCATTTTCCATTAGTCCATTGCTTATCAATATTCTCATGTTCTCTGTTTCTCTGAAGTTCGCCTCACTTTTGCTAGTACTGTACAACATTTTTTTCTTCTACTACCATCATTCTATAGAGCTGCACAAGTCACTAAGCTTGACCTTCTTATCGCTTGACCCCTATAGAGAGGTAATAGAACAAGAAAATGCGCCAACAACCAACTAAATGCTATTGTCATCATCGTTGCGGATGTGCCGAATTGCACCACAAATGTAGAAATTGATTTGGGGAAGATAAAATACTTTATTCAAGTTTGAAGTTAGAAAGTTTTAATTTAAATCATATTTTATCGCTAACAGGTGTTTGTTAAAATTAGATGTTTATTATAAAAAAAATTTTCATCATCCATTCAACTTTTTAGTAATTTAATGTTCAATTTTTACGTTGATTTTATAATAAACCAATTAAATCGATTTATTGTTTGAAATTTGAAATGGATCAAACACGCAGAAATACAAATTGCAATGTATGATTGCAATATTTCTAACAAATTGAATTTGTTAGTGGAAGATGCATTAACTTGAATTATTTGAAAATTTAAATTTTTATGAACAATAGAATATTTTTGGCAATTTAAATTATTGTTTTAATTTAATTAGCATAATAAGTCATGCAATTATTTGATTGTTTCAAGTTTTACGTTAACATCCGGTATTATCTTCATCTTGTTCTCCGATTGTTAAAAGTTGAGATTTTTAAGAAACTAATTCAGAGAACAAAGTTTCAATCTGTTAGATAGTGATATCTGATCAAATGATTACTACCGTTAGCAGGGCATTTTTTTTTCTTTCTCTACATTCCTTTTTCTACATATCTTAATAATTAACATGAATAAGTATACTCATTGATAAAGATGATAATTTGATATAGCGAATTATCCATCTATTAGTTGATTTAACATAAAACGAATAATGTAGATGAAATAAGACAAAAGAAAATCTGCAACATTTGATGAAAACCTTAAATGTTGCAAATTTGTTGATGATTAAAATGCTTGTTAATATTATCTATTAACAATTAAAACTTTATTGATAAAATGATATTACATCATACTTCAAATATTTGGTTAATTTTTTTTAATTACAAATAAACATTTTGATATTATAAATATGTATCATTGAAGATTGATAAGAAAATATCAAATTCATTCATAATTTAGCCAATTGCAAAATGATTTCGTTGTCCAAGTAAAGTGAGATAATTCATCTTCCGCTTCATTATTTCATCCTGACGATCCAATATCTCCAAACTTTGAATATGGTCATCTATAACATATATCATAACTTGTTGTTGAAATAAGCATGCGTATTTTTTTTGTTGACAACAATAAATTAACAATAATATGCGTCTAATATAACTAATAATTAAAAGTTAATTAAAAGAAGAGTTAATTTTTAAAATCTTAAATGAACTTACAGTATACTTTACAACTAGATTTTCTCTTTGGTAAATAGATATTTACGTGTGGAACATTAAGAAGTTCATGTAAAGTCATTTCCTCATAAAGTTCACACGTAAAAACATCACGTCCACCAATTAATCCATAAACAACTGCTTTACACTTCTGAAATATCATTTGTTGAAGATCTAAGCTTATGAAATTAATCCTACGGCTTTTTTTGTAAACAAATGATCACAATGAAATAATCTCTGAGAAGCAAAATATACAAATTTTGAAAGCTGTAAGTATATGGAAACTTTTTTTTTTTTTATTCCTAATTTAAAGCTTTTTAATTTATTAGTTTCAAATGCAATATAAAATTTCATACTAAATTTATTACTTTTTATGGTTGAAAAGAATATAAAAAATTTATTATGAAGGTTGTAAGCATAGGCTATTAAATACATTCTGGTCACTTTTAATGGCTAATTTAGCTTAATGCAATTTTTGCTGATTCCAAAACTACAGCTTAGTAAAAAACATAAATAATTAGTACAGAATAAACAATAAACCAATGAATAAACGCGAATAGCAAATAAGTTTGTTTTCTCTCCTACTTTTACTCTATTAGAGTTTAAATTATAACAGAGATCACCTCTGTTATGGTCAATACCATTTACTCATTCTCAGTTAACTTACAAAAGAATGATACGAAATATTTGATAGATTTGTAATTCATATATGTATGTTATCAAGGAGTAAATTAAATAATTGCATTATATTAATGATTAAAGTTTCGGGATTATTTCAATTTTCAATTCCAGGGTTATCTTAATTTTCAAATTTATCTAATGAATGAAAATATTAAACTGTCAATCTAATGAAAACTATCAATTAACCAACGGTACTATTATTTTTAACCAAATCAATGAATGCTTATTAAGCTAATAAAAATTAATTCCATGTAATTTATATTTTCAAAACAAAAAATTATAGGCACTTACAGTATCTTTAAGACAAGTAACCAAGCATTGATCCTCTGTACTACTGTAACTATTATTTGCAGCTCCATAAGGTTTTAAAGAAATTGGCATATCTCGATCTGTATATTCCACGAAGCATTTACATAACACACAGGGATTTCCAAAATGGTCTAAAATTTCAATTAACTTTTTAAATTTTTGGAAATTTTGTCAGGAAAAGATTTCTAATAGAAAAAGTATGAAATTTTTAAACTTGTACAATAAATGAAAAAATAATCCATCAAGGTAATTAAGAATAGTTGGGGTTTTATTATCATCTTCTTAATAAAAGTGAAATGCCTTCCCACATCTGCTGCAGATATTTCAGATCATGTGTTTTAAATTTTATTCCAGCAATTTCTATTATGAAAAGAAATGACTTCGGAATTTAGTCTGATCTGTTATTTAATCTTTATCACTATTGCATGCAACTTATATCTGTTTTATGGAATTCTTTCTCTTTCCCTCTCTCTCTCTCTTTGTTGTTTTTAAAGCAATTAATTGTTGGTTAAAACAATCAAAGAAATAAAACAAACAAACTTGGTTGATCATATGCTTCGATAATTCTAAAAAAGATCACAATAAGAATGAGAAAACTAGGAGCAATCATTGAACGGATCGACAAAAATGACAGCGGCTGTCTTTGATATTGCTATTCTATTGTGTTAACAAAATATGGGTCATCAATATATGGAAAGGTCAGAAATGGGTCATGTGATCATATGTGGGTAATAAATGATTAAATTTCTCCACCCACCTTTTATACTGTGTTAATAAAATTTTATCATATCAATTGTTCATCAATAGAATATATGCAAATTCTTAATTTCTTTTATCCCTATCATTTTGTTTAACGAAATCATCTTCATACTTTGTGATTTCATTAAATTTCACTAAATTCACTGATTTTATCAAATTTTATTTCATAAAAAGAAAACTAAATATTTTAATTATATTACCTTTAATAAACTTCTATTATTATTAATTCAACGATAATACTTTAAAATTTACATTTCAAATTTCAATTAAAAAAACAGTTTAAGATAATTAAAAATGAGAAATTTGCAATGTTGAATTTATTGCAAAAATTTCACTTTCGATCGGTATAGTTATTGATATATCTATATTTTCTTCTCTCTTGCATTCTTTGAAAAACTGAATGTAAGTAATAAATTGTTTAGCTAAAGTTTTATATGAATACAACAAAATAATCGTTGAAATCTAATTTTTCAAATATTCTCGAAAAATAATAGTTTTAATTTATGCATTTATTTATCAACGAATATAATGCTTATTGAAAGTTCAAAGATTTATTTATCAACGAATGCAATGCTGATAGAAAGTTCAATGATAACAATTCAATTGATTAATTAAAAAAAAAAGGTTTTGCGAATAACACAGGTAACTTGGCTTCGATAAAGTTAATTATTTTTACATTAGCTTATTTCTCCGTTTTAATGCTAAAATTATTGTTGACAAGAAAATGTGATAATAAAAATATTTTGTGAAGTAAATTTACAACATTTGAAAACACACACAAATAATTCTTTATTACATCATCCACCATTAAATAATTGTTGGCAACGCGTACAAACTAAAGAAAACTGATTTTAATTCATAAAGAAAAAACAAAGAAGAAAAGGTTGATTGATCGATTAAATAATGCAAATAATATTTTTATTTATTAAATCCAAGATGGTAATTAAATAAATTGAAAACTTACTTCTAAATTTTATGATTTAATCCTTTTGTTTTCGCTTTTAAATTTCATTTCAATTATTTTTATATATTTCAAAAGCTTAATTAAATACTTTCATACTTAATTAATAATAGCACACGAATTTTTCTGCAAAAAATTATTCACAAAGAACTTTTCATCAATTTCTTTTATTTAATTTAGTAAGATCAATCAATTTGTTTAACAACTTGACATTGTCATTCATTCGGTAATTCAAAAATTAATTTTATTTTTAAAATCATCAATATACAAAATAATGAAAAAAGAACCTACGACATTTTGAAGCGTAAAGTTTTCTTCCTTTTCATTATATTGATTAACTGATAATTTTTCAATGATAAAATTTATAATTATCATATTTCTTTTCATATAGTTAAAATGAATAACAAAATTATCAATCAAATAGTTTTTACATTTTTTACTTCACTATGAAAAAAATCGTTATTTAACAAAAAAACTAAAAATTTAATTATTAATTTTTTTTAAATTCAAAAATAAATATAAATGTTTTATATGAAAGAATTCTTCTTTTTTTATGAAATCTATTTATAGTTTTTCTAATTTTTTTAAAAAATTCAATTATATTTGAAAATTTTTTAAACGGATATTATAATATCATAATGAAAGAGAAAAGAGAGAGAGAGAGAGAGAGAAAATAGAAATGAGATTGCCTAAAATTTGTTTCAAATGATGAAAAATGAAAATCTAAAATGATGAAAATGAACGATGATAATATAAGCTTTACGACATTCATCAAATAATCGTAATTTTGACGAAAATATTTTTACCAAAAAAAAAAAAAAAATGTTAGGATAGGAATTGAATCAATCGGTTAATTGATTTATGAGAAGTCATTTTCTTCGAGAAGTTATTGCACTCTATTGCTACTGTTCTGTTGGGTGGCATTTTCGTTTCAACAATTTTTCGAAATTCCTTTTTTTTAATTTTTAATTATTTGTTAATTTTTTTTGAAATAAAAACAAAAACTAAAAATGTTTACTTTTTTTTTTGATAAGAAAGATAATTTGAATGTTTTAAAATTGCATTATTTATCAATGAAAAATTTATCATATCAAATCAATAAAATTATATTATGCTATGTTATTTTGCATTTATTCATTTCAATCGCTTATATTTTCAAAATTTCAATTTTACCAATTTTTTTTCATTTTAACTTTTTCTAATTAAACTGATTGAAATGTTTCATTATTTATTACAATGTTTCATTTGGTTGGTTTTTCATGAAATTTGATAATACAACAATTATTAATTATGTATTAGTCTTAATACTTTAAAGTTGGTTGTTTTCATTTAATTAAAATTTAATTTTAATTTAGGAGAAAAAGAAACAAACAAAAATTAGAATAGAAAAATTTGTCTAATTCGGTGTATAACATTATTTCGAAAACTTAGCGCGCCTTTTCACTATTCTTCTATAGTTTGTTATCTGCATAAAATCTCCGTTCTTTGGTGTCCATGAAGTGTTGTGATGAAAAGCGGAAATGGCTAATATCAGTAACTTTGCATACTATCATTTAGCATCTATTTGAAAAACTTTCAAATGTAGAGCACTATTTGTCAGTAAATAATTGATTTTCATTTCGTTTTATTTGTTTTTCTTTATTATTTATTATTTTATGAAAATTGCACGTTACACGTAGTAAATCCAGCACAATTATTTGTTTTTTTATCATAGCTTGCACGTTACACGTAGTAAATCCAGCAGAATTGTTTTTGATCATAGAAATCGACGACATTGGTCGATGATCAAAAGAAATGGTTTGACAAATGTTGACATTGCAAGTGTCGTATAGGGTGCTTTTTCACGACTCTTTTTGGCATTTAGTCATCGATAATACGTTGTTCTAACGTAAAATAGCTATGAATAAAAAATGTTTTACATAAAATGTACAAATTTTCCTCAATTTTTTAATGCCAATAATACTGTTAAAATTTGATTAAATTTCATTATAGAAATAGACATAACATATATTCAATCTTGCCATGTGCTTTATATGAACGATGTTTTACTAACTGGTTAAGTCAAAGGTTAATTACTACAAGCGTACTTTGAATAGATTCATATCTGCTATTGTCATAATTAATCATATGCAGTGATGATTGATTCATTGATTAATTTACAAACTTATAACAATAATTTTAATCGACTACATTTACCTCAAATAAACGGTTGAATATTGTAAGTGAAGCGAAGTTTTAAAAATGACATTGTTGATAATGAACTAAACTCATTGTAACTGAGCTATAAGATTTTCAAAAAACAGATACTATTGTAATATTGACAAAAAGAGTAGGAGAGAAATTAGTCAGAAATAATTATTATAAAATATAATTGAATTGGATTAGCTGCTAACAAATATTGGTCATGTTAAAAATATAACAAAGTAATTAGATAGGTTTAGTATATTATCAGTATGTGTGGAAAGATTGTATTCGGCTAGAAATACTGGCATAATCACGCTGTTCCACTGATAAGCTAAAATTAATTATGACGGATCATGAAAATGGGACCATTTAAGCTTTATGATAATAGTGACAATGCTTTAATGAATGAAATTCAAGTAGTGAAATATTTCAAACTTTGATTTGAAACATCTTTCTGAACCATCCAAGTGACAGATATGTGTTGCGAAAAAGTGGATAAGAAATGTGTGCTTAAGTTGAAATGATGATAACTGATGATGATGATAGATGGTAAAACTAATAATTATAATAATTAGCAGTAGTGATCATGAGGATTGCAATAGTGATGATGATAATAATGATGATTACTGAAAATTCCCAATACTTTGAAGATAATATGACTAATTTGCAATTTAAAAATTTTTAAAAACTATTCGAATTGAAAAGTAATTAGTGTTTGATTGCAAATTATTAGGATCTATGCTAATGATAATGTAAATTGTTTTAATTATCATTTATCTTCCTTTAAATTTATCAATCGTTAACTTACATTTTGAATATTACATTTATTGTATTTTTCATTTTTCTATTTTTAATTTTTCAAAAAAAAATTTCATTTTACATTTTTTTGAATTTTCATAAAAATCCATTTCAAATTTTGGAAATAATTCAGTCTTCAGGAAGTGTTAAATTATGCCAATATGTAAGTCTTTAAACAATGATCTCGTTGGCTAAAACGGAATAAAACTAGTGGAATGAAGCACAGGAAGGAATGAGTAAAATATGCATCTGAAGTGTTATTTGAAAAGCAAAGATGCCATCAAAGCAATATAGGACCTCATTCAAAATCTTCTGCAGTGCTCTTTTTGCGAATTACACGAAACAATAATCAGTACTTTCAAAATAGAACTTCAACTTCATTTAATTTCAAGCCTTCTTTCGCCTTATTCTCTCCTTCTTCTTCTCCTTTTTCATTTCCCTCCCAATCTATCAGTAATCCTTCAGAAATTCTTTTCTACATCAGATGAACATTCATTTAACATCAAACTTTCTCTTTTTTTGAATCCCTGAATTCATCCATTCTTCTTTTCCTTCATTATTCTCATCATTTATTTCTCTATTTTTCCAATTTGTATTTGTGTAATTTCATAATGCTTTAATATTCGACAAATTAAACTTTTCAAGGATTTCTTCTTAACAAAATTGCCAAAATAATTTTTGTGTTATTAAAAAATATGTGATAACTCATCAAAATTTCTTATAAAATCATTTGGGTTTATTAATTTCTTTATTTTCTTTATGAACATTTAAGATTTTTAATATTCTTATGCTTAAATATCCGATTAAATCATTATCATATAATCACCTCGATTACAGTATGGATAAGGTTACATTTAATAATGATAATATTACTGATACTGCGGTATTGCTACAGTTTATTATCATAC